TAACTAATAAATTGAAACGTCTGGCTATTTTTATAAAAATTTACGAATAAAAAGCAATTTAATCATTATTTTATTAAAATATTTTTAAATATTAGTTCTATATTCGTATTCCCATATTCAGAAATGTGTTCCTTGAGGTCTGTTCTACTTTCTATCTAATCTTCAGGCTATTTTCTTTTTTCTTTTAAATTCAGATCTATGATGAAGAAGCTGAACTTAATCGTTTACCGTCACAATTCAAGAAAGAATTACAACACATCTTCGATGCAGTACATCAACAAGATTATCATGTAATTAAAAATGAACATTTGAAACAACATGATTCAAATTTGAAATGGTTAAGTTATCTGCTAAAGAATGTATTGCCAACTTGTGCTATTTGGAGTAGTCTACTATTAGGTATGTTAATTTTATTGTTAACATTTAGTCTCGGAAATAACTGCATGGTTTTTCTACGTCGTTTTAGGTAATTTATCAAGACATAAAGTTCAATCAGCTGAAAAAATCATATTAGATAAAAACATCCAACGAAGTACGGCGAACAGTGAAAGGCGCATGGGAATTGTTAAGAAGATGGAGCTAGGTAAGCTTCTATTTTTTCTAGAATTTTTCCTTTTTTTCGTCAAACAATGACGTTAGTATAATCCTCCCTTCCATTAAAGAACGGTTATTGTCGAGTTTTCTGAACGAGTATCTCCCTCCGCTTTGCCGATACAGTAGCCTTACATTGAAGGTATCTCCGCACGTAGTTTGTTCTAGACGATAATTGAACCCGTTTTTTCTTTTTCTTTATAGGTGGTATTGTGCGCGAACGTATTGATATCGTCGTAAGAATTCTTATTGAAAACATGATAAACAACATATCATCTTTCGCCGAAGTCATGTTATTAAAACAATCAAAATCATTAGAACCTTTTCGAACAAAACCAATTCAAGAAAATTGGCAACAAAAACCAAATCGTCGAAACCAGGGTTATTATCAACAAGCAGCTACTGAACGTGCACTGTTTTGGTTAAACGACGATGTTACTGTTGTTCCATCCATTAACATTGGCTTCCAGTTCGTTGATTTTTATTATTATCAAGATATTTATTCGTGGTTAACAACAACGATCAATCTATTACTATCATTGCCATACATTCGTCGAGTATTAAAACAATACCATCAATTACAGTTAAACAATTTGTTAAATGAAATTTTATTAATTACAAAAATGATCAATGGAGCAAACATTAAGAGCACAAATAAAATCAACATTGGCATTCATTTATTCAACGATGTATTATCATCAATACCGATTGATTTGAAAGAACATGTAAACAGCAACAATTTATTAAACAAAATCATTCCTCGTGTCATTGTTCCTATTACCAATAAGTTGGTTGGTAGTGAAGTTTTCTGTATTTTAACTATCCGGTGTACAACGTGCAACAATTATTCAAGTCGTCTAACAATTTATCCCTCTGTTGTTTTATCAAACATTAACATGGCAGATCATCTGCAAGAGCAACTTCAAAATTTCTTTTTCTCTAGTATGGCTGACATTAATTGTAAACAATGTCTGGCAAACATGGAAAAGCAGCTGTTCGTTCTTCGATGGCCGACAATTATACTTGTTCATTTACAACAAAAAAGAAATATATCATCAACTCGGAAACCACCTTCTCTCATTCATCTTCATCAACATAGTCATCCATTAAATATTTGTTCTCAATCGTCATCGTGTTATTATTTATTATCCTTTATATCATTAACTTCAAGTGGAAAATTAGTCGTTTCAACAAGATCTAATAAACACTGGAAAACAACTGAATCATCAAAATCGTACGGAGAAGGAGAATATATTCAAAACTTGTATGGTCAGAGTTCCTAATTGATATTAAGCCAAATGCCAACAACCATCAATTTTTTAAACGCAATAATTTGTGGTTTTAAGGTAACTATAAGCTTCTTGTTTCTATTTGCTTAGGATTCTCGGCAGTCTAAGGCGAAAAGGAGAATTTTTATTGCTAAAAACTTCTTTTTTTTTGCTTCGTTATTTCCTTTCTTTTTAGATTGATATTGATCGTGGACCAGCAAGATATGAAAGTTTAAATAGAGCTATTTTATGTATTGAAAATGGCCAACATTATCGACAATTATTCAATTTATTAAGAACAAACATCATCACCTCTTGTGAATGTCCAAATTGCAATTCAGAAATGGCTAATTTATCTTCCTCTAACAACGGTATTCCATTGTTTGAAACAACATGTGAAGGAATACGCGCAACACCGGTCTTGAAGAAACCAGTCCTGATAAATAATACCTGTTCGTCGTGTTCATTCACAGTTGTCGAAAATAGCATTTTAAAAACACATTCACAAATATTTATTTCAATTCCTCAACTTATTATTTGTATTATTCAACTCTTAGAAGAAAAAACTATTCAAGAACAAATAGAAATTAATGGCATATATTTCAAACCGATGGCATTATTATTAAAAGGCAAATATAAAGACACATTAACCGTCGTCGATGTTTCCAGTAATCTGTCATATCAATTATATGAACAAAATCCATATGAGAACGGGATGGCATGTGAATTAGATGATATATTAAATTATTTTGACCCAACATCAGATATTATTGGTCTTTACTGTCAAGTGCCATCTGTGTAAGTAGAACTTTGTTGTTTTGACATCAGTATTTCTTTCGCAATGACAGACACAATAGCGATTAAATAAGGTTTAGGGAGACGTATAATTAGAATTGCAAGCTTTATTTGACATATCAGTTTTCTATTTTAGGCAATTGTAATCTAGAAAAATGTTGATAGTTATTTATCAGCTAGTGAAATTCCACTTTCCGTGCTTTATTTTACATGGGCCGTAGTATATTTACTATCGGGTGTTACTGGTGTTTTATTTTAAGAACATTAGAGTATGTTCATTCATTTAAAATCTCACAGCAGCAAATACGTAATATGAAAAATATTTATTTCAGACAAACAGTATACAAAATTCATTATTTAACGTTATTATTGGGTTTAACAGAAGTATTATCATTAATATTCCAGAAGTATGTTTTTTTGTAATTATTACACCTTTATTATATTACATCTTTATTATATGAATGCTATATGACAAAACTAAAATTATAAAAACCTTCTATTATACACTTGCATTATTCTCAAAAAAATTGTTTAAAAATATAATTCTTGCTTTAAATATTTTATAATAGGCAATTAAAGAACGTCGTAGTGAAATAAATATTCATCAATTAACACTTCGACAACAATTACTTGACAAACAAACGAAAACAAGTGAAGTGTCTAGTGAATTACATGATCGAATAGCAAAAATAGAAAAATTAAAAAAACGGTATATTAAATTATTTCATTCATTGAATATTCTACTTATTTCAACTATTTTTCAGATATCAAATTGTTAATATTTCAATGGCACCACCTGAAAGTGCTACAGAAGAAGAAACATCTCAAAAATATTATGTTATTAAGGTATAATATTGAAGTATCGAATCACATTTTGAGATTGAATCTTTTATTTGTATTTTAGGCTGCACAAGAAAAAGAAGAATTACAACGTCAAGGTGATGAATTAGATGCAAAAATTCGAAAAGCGGAAAAAGAATTACGCGCAGAAGAAAATACATTGAAAATTTTGAAAATTTTGAATACGGGAAATAGTATGACAAAAGATTCATTTAAAAAATTAACTGATTCAAGTAAAATATTAATTTTATTTAATTATTTGTATAATTTGATGGATTGAATGATCTTTTATGATATTTAGGTGATGAATCAACACAATTAGAAGAATTAGAAATTTATTTAAAAAAATAATTTCGTCTTAAAATGGTTAAAAGAATCATGCTCACACTAGACACTTCTTATTGTTTCAGTTTCTTCAATGTGTTTCGTTTAAGAAAATCCAATATTATCATATTTTGTATTTTATAAGTTTTATATATCACATTTTTTCAAATTATATCATGTATCAGCTGATCCAAAGGTTAATACACCTGATTATTTATCATAATCGAAGAAACGTCTGGGGTAGAATTTTCCTTGTTCTATTAGTTTAATTCTTAAAATTTTGGTACAAATCATAGTTATACTTTTCATCACACTCAACGATAAACAGTAATACGAAAAAAAGATTTGTTTTAGGGTATTGCTGGTTTATGTGTTCTAATCGATCAAAGTCGTAGCATTATTACAGTTTTTTCTTTCATGAAAACGTTTTCCACTTTTCTGTATATAGCAAAAGTTTTGTGAAATATATTTATGAAAGTGTAGTATATCACACTTAACTGTTTTTTGGTCTTTATCAGACAATTTTATGCGTTAAAAAACTGTATTGTGAAATATATACCCAATCAAGGTTAATGAGTAAACCATATCTACATGTTTAATATCAATAACATCGTTTAAATAGGTCATCGAGTATGTTTCTAAGTTTTTGCAGTTGAACTTGTTCACTGGCAACAATAGTTTATTGACCATAATCCTAGAAATATAAAACAACATGGAAATAAATATATTGCATGTTTATTACTATCAGTTGACAGTGCTATGGTTGTTGTACTAATAATATTTGAGGTTTTTGTTTGTCGTTGTTCTTGTTATGGCCCTTCAATTAATGATCAAGATCGTTGATGGAGTCTAGACAATGAGTAGTTAATGCCATACAGTAGACATTTTTGGCTTAGTGGGTGGATATTTTATTCTTTTCTTGTTAAAAAAGATTATTTTTGTTTGGTTTGACTACATATATCTCAAAATGTTTATTTCAGCAAGAATAGCTAAGACCTCAGAATAGACTAGCCAATATAAAAAATCACTTTACAAACACTTTTACGTTTTGGCAAAATGTCCATTTGGATCTCCGCTGTATATTGTAAACCAGAAAAGGAGTGAATTTTTCTCACAGTTTTATCATTCTTTCTTTCTTAAAAATACTAGAACGTTGAGCATCAATATAACTTGAATCAGATTTTCTACACAACAATGTGCTTAGCTATCGGGAAACTAGATTTATCTCTATTCGAACGATGTCCAGTAATTCCCTATGAAATTATTGTCAAACTAGAATCTAGCATCACTTTTATGATAAATACGATATTGATCTCGGAAAAATCTTTGTTTCAGCGAATGTATTATTTTCAAATTAAAATTCTCTGATAGATCCACTTATTAGAAATCTAACAACAATCTAAAATCCTCAAATCTAACAATCTAATATTTCATGAACTTTTATCCTGGCCGTTGACCTTTACTTTATTATAAATTAAAATGAATATTGTCTTCGAAATCGTTTTATTGACACAAAAATTAAAAATATCTTTTTACCGCTTTTTGAAACAAGGTCAACACAAACTTACTCAAAATTCAATCAGGAATCAAACAGGTACAGCACATTAAAACCTGAATTTAAAGCGAGAAAAGAATTTGCCATTTTTTAGCAGAAAAGTTACAGCCGCTGTAGCGTCATCACCATTTTTGCATCAAACAACTTAGTTACTTGTACAAAAACACTTTAAACTGAGCCTTGAATTTAATCCGCTATTCAAAATTAAGTATGATTTAGCTTAAGTCAAAGCATGTATCTGTAGAGGCCAAAACACCACAAAATAAAATGGCTCTTGAATTTGGTGATGACGTTTTTGGTGGTGACTTATCTTCACCACAGGAGTAGCAGTGTTTCTAACATTACGCGTACGCCCTTGTTCCAAACCGTACGGTACGTGAACTACATTGAAAATACGCTTTGTATCAACCAATAGGAAAAGACAGAACGATAAAATCCACGAATTACCACGCTTATGTACGCGCTGCTCAAAATTCTCATTAGAAACCCTGAGGAGTAGATTATCGGACTGCCTGCTAAACAGTCTACAAAAATATTCTTAATTGATAGATTGACATGTTTTTGAATAAGTTAAATATTATTCTAGTGAAGGTAGTCATAGGCGAGTATTCGTAAAGTACTCACACTAGAAAATGCCGCGAGTACTCATGAACTTTTTCGTACACATCAGTGGTATTCGTGCTAGAATCTGAGTAGGACAATCGAGTACTCACCTCGACATATTGAGTATTTCGTGCGTACTCTTATATAGTTTTTGTGCACTCTGCTGGTTTATGTAAAATACTCCTAAGTGTATACTCTGTTCAGTATTGGTGTACTACATCCGTTTTATTTAAATATAAAATTAATAACAAAAGACATAAGCGTAGATAATGGAAATCTGAGAAAAACAATCAATATGAGAACTATAGCGGTTACTTTATTTTCATGTTTTTGATACAAAGAATTCTGAGGAGAATTTTCACCTTTGCTACTCTGAACTATCCAGCTCTTTTTTGCGGATTTGGTAGTTCATAGTTTGAACTTGCCATTCTATAATAGAAAACATTACCACTGATATTATCGCCAACGGTTGGCTACCCAAGTAAGCAGAAAAACCTGGTTGACCGGCGTCCGAAGTGTCCGAGTAACCCGTCCAGACTAGTCCGCATCTGGAATTTTTTTTAAAGTGTCAGGACTACAAGTCTTGACGTACGACCGGATGCTGAACCAGAGGAGTAGGCAGGACGGGGTGTCCAAAAGTCGAGCATGATGTGCTACCCGTCGGTAGACCAGTGCAGAAATTTCCCCATGCGTTGGGACGTATAGTCTTGACACTAGTCAAGACGTGCTACATGATGGTAAATTTGTTAAAAAGTAATTATTTGTACATCGATGTCTTCCTTCGATTCTAGGCGTTCGTTCTCTGAAGTAGTAAAAAGTGGATATCAACCTGGTTGACAGATTTCAAAAACTTGTTTATCAAAAATGCTCTTAGACACTGACTCTCAGTAATAGAGGTAGTCTGTTACTGTGTACACAACAAAGTTTTGCATCGAGATTAGGTTACACTGCAGCTGCTAAACCATTTGATTTACTAGTGTACCATTTAGCAGACAAACAAAAATTCCAAGAGGGTATTTCATATTATAAGATATCCTTTATGGTTTTTTCATTTTTGATAGGATGAAGGATTTACTAAAGTATTCGTAAGGAATATCCTACAGAACCCAATTAGTTTTATGTTAATGATAAAATACTATAGGGTATTTGATTCACTCTGTAATATCAAATGACATCTTGAGATCCCAACATAGTTTCTTAGGGTATAGCCTGAATTTTTTGGAAACTGAAAAAAGGTTTGGATTTGTAGGTTACCAACCGTTTTATAGCGGAAAGTTGAACGATATTTTACAGTACCAAAAACGGTTTTTTCTCCGGAATAAAAATCACTAATACTAAATAGAACTATTTCTTTTTTTCGTTCATATTTTACTAAATCGTTTTGATTTCGTTTTATTAATTTTTTTCTGAAATCTTGGGTTTTACGAGCATATTTTTCGAAACTATCGCACAGTGGGCATTTAGCCGGCGTTTTCTGGAAAAATCGTAGGTGCGAATTTTTTTGTTTTGAATAGTGGTGTATATAGTATAAACAATTCCCTATTTAATGATAAAAAAATTTTTGTTCTAGCTCCTTCCAAAGCTGAGAAAACTGAATTACAAAAT